TCACAAAGTGAGGATATCTATGACAGAGATTAGTTAATAAGCTGTGAGCCAGAATCCCAGAATCTTCCATGTTTATATTTTTTTGTCCTAGGCTGCTCTACCAATTTCTTCCATTCAGAAACTATTTCTTCATAACTATGCTGATTGCCATGTAGCTCTTTAAAAGAAATTGGGTGCTTATGACTACAAGTTACTATTGATTACAATTTATCTTGTTCCTTTCAGCCATTTTTTAAGTAGCTGAAAAGCACAGATATATTCAAATTAGAGCTTAGCCTTTTTTTTAAGTTCATGTGTCATTTTCAGGTTGCATATTAAAATTGCACAGTACATTTGCAAGAAACATAATTTAACCCAGAGAACAATGATAAGGAAAGAAAATTAGTTAATACGTACTGAGGCAAGAAACACAACTTTGCATGTAAACCACATTATTCTTAAATTAGATGAGTAGCTGATAAATTGATCTTGAATAAGAGTGCTCCCATTTAATCAACAATTTCTCTGTTTAGTAATTTTGAGACAATTACTGTAGTCAGTTCCTCACTCAGTATAGATTACTGTAGTGGTAGTTTTTGCAACATCAGCAAGAATTATACTTATTATATACTGTATCTGATGAAGCAGATTAATCTTTGAAAGATTCTGGTGCCGTGCAGTTGTTAGCTGTTCTGCTACTAATCTCTTCAGCCTGCTCCAGTGATGTTATTGTGCTAGAGTGTGATCGTTGCATTGCTAGTTTTGCATCTTCATAATTAGCATAAGTCTTGGTACTCAGTAGGTTTTGGTGTATAAGAGGTTGCAAAAGATGTTGTACAATTGTTTGTATAATCTTTTCTACAATGGTGTAATTCCGTGCAACTGCACTGGTGGGAATTTCCATTCCTCTAGTATGACATTGTATTTGGGCTCCAAGTCTTCATTAGACAGGAAGAATTTGTCTATTATTTTCAGCCTCCAATTTAAGTTAATGTTGATTACAGCAATTGTTAGAATTTTTGTGTGACTACACTTCCAAAATCTGCAACACTGAACATTTATAATTAGGAATATAAATATATGAAGGATATATGGGCATAGTTTGTTTGACCCTAACAACTTCAAGAGTTCCTTTCCCAAGGAACATAGCTGCGATTTGGCCTTGGTACCATAGTCCTAAAAGGACAGGTACAAAGACATTGAAACTGAAAGAAATAAAAGAAGTCTAAGAAGGCTGGAGGTGAGACAAAGAAATATTCACATAACAGAGAGTCATTAAGATATGAACAGGTGAACTTGATCTGTTATTAACTATATAATGATTACTATTATATAATGATATACATCTGCAGAAAATTAAGTAAAAACATTTGGATAGTACTGAACACTAGCATTTCCTAGTTAGGTATAGGTATATATATTTATTTAACTGGTTCTGGGCTATATAGAGACTTTTTTCTGGAATTTCATGGGAATTCTGTCAGCCTGTATTATGTGACTAAAAAAGTAATATTAAGTACAGTGGAAGTGGTGGTTTCTTGTCATATTATTTCAGCTAAAGAAAGCTATGTTGTACATCTACAGAAGAGCACTCAGTCTGGGTTAAGTGCAGAATTATAGTATGCAACAGACATACTATGGCATATGGCAACTTCTCCACTAAATAAGCAGAGCATTTAAAGCCACAGATTTAATCTTCATTTCTCTGTTTCTAATTTTAAAAGCTAAATTGACAGGAATTTTTCAGATTAAGTTCATTATTTAATCAGTTGGCCGGTTCTCTCAGTCACTCTGTCTCTGTCTCTCTCGCACACACACAAACTGCTGTTCTAAGACAAAACAAATATTATTTTGGGGTGGTCTGGAATTAGTGCTAACCCAATCAGTTTTGCTCAGTTAAAAACTGAACAAACTTTTTTAAAAGATAGCATGCCCTCAAGAGTGCATACAGAATGGCTGAAGATCCTGTCACTCATTCCAGCACCACACACTAGCTAATGTAACATGGAAAACTCCCCTGGATTTTCTGTGGGGCAAAGAAAACTTCCTTCTTTGTGCAAAAAACAACAACAAAAACAACAAAACCAGAATATGAACTTCCTAATGGACATGTATGTGTATGCGCAGCTGATAAAAGAGGGAGCGTAAGGTGAAGTATGGGTAGGCACAGATGTTCAAATTCAGCTCAAAGAAGGGAAAGAAAGACAAAAATGCTCAAAGAGCTTTTCTTTTACCCTGTAGATATATCAGTCTATCCTTTTTATAATGTGTCTCTTGTATGTTTATGCATTTGTCTCTGTTGGGGCTGGAATGAAAGTGTTGCACCCCCCCCTTCAACCTAGATTCATTCATTTATTTTAATGTACACAGGCAGATACACAGGTTTGCAGATGAATGCACAATACACTGGATTAAAATAAAATGTTACAAGTGGGGCCATTCCTGTTTGCAACTAATCTATGACGCCTATACTTTCTCTAGTTCATTGCAATAGTGTAGTTTCGGCCTAGGACTCAGGAGATGTAGGTTTGAAATTCCACTCAGCCATGAAAGTTCACTGGGGATTTGGCACTGATAAAACAACTCATTAAACATCTCACTATTAAGTCAGATGTGATTTGATGGCACATATAACACACGCACACACAAATACATAATCAGGAAGGGACAAATAGGAACAATGACCAGGAGAAGGAGCAATATAAGACATTTGTCTAAATTTGTGCAAATGACATATTTTGAAGATAAGCATATATTTTCATGCATCGTAATGAGGGGGTAGACTGCATTACAACTATGCCAGGACTTTAAATACATTAGTGATTTTATCTGGAAGTTGAGTCATGAAAACTGGACTTCTTTCTTATTAGGTTGAAACGTTTCGCTACTCAGCTGCCCCAAGTAATGAGCTCACTAACTTGAGCAGCCTATAAATTAAATAAATATAACAAAAGTTCTTTATACAGAGCTCCTCCCATTCCACCACCTTTATGGAAAGTAGATACTCATTGTGAATGAGAGTTTCTCAAGAAAACTAATCCTGTTTCTTTAAAAGTAAGCAATTTATTTGTTATAACAAAAATTAAAACACTCAAATGTATACTCTCGTTTCAGATTGGAGCAGCTTGTTAGAAATGTATTTTTCTTTTTACTAAACCTCATTTGTAATGCTAGCATTTTAATCTGAAATATATAAATTTGTGATAACATTGCTTTTGTATATACAGTAAATAGCCATTCTGTGCCAAAACCCTTGGCCAAGAAGCTCTAACCTTCATAAACTACCTCAGCACTTGGTTTCTCCCAAAGATTCCAAAAGGGGTTTCCCTGCTCAGTGCAGGGGCTCCTCTTCTGTCAGAACTAAACAGGATTCAATTTTACCTCAGGACTAATAATACATCTTCATAACAAATGTTACAGAAATAATTCAAAAATTTAAAACATCATGATACAGTTAACTGTGTAAGAACTATGGCCCTAGTCCAGTTGCCTTTACAATTCAGTCAGATATTTGTTTTGTCCTTTCTCTGCTTATTCTAATTAACATCAGGGATTCAGCTCCATAACCACCCAGTCTGACATTTTCTGGGTTGGTGTGCGAGAAAATGCTGTTTATATTTGTGACATTCTTTAATGAGCTCTCTAGAAGTGCTTCATTGTGTAGGTTTCGCTGGTTAAAGAAAACATGGCATTTAAGAAAGCCCTTGGGGAGATAGCAATGTAAAATATTATTGGGCCTTGCTGCTGTTTCTTTCTCTTAGGTTTTTGTGGTTTTGTCTTCTGGGATTATTAAAGCCTTAAAATGTATATCCAGACAAAAACAAGAAAATGAAGAACAAATACATTGTGGCACCTCAAACACTAACTGTTATATTTCAGTGTGGATTTTCATGGATTAAAAGCAGTCTTTAAAATGCAACAACATTTTGTTGTTGTTGTTGTTTGAAGGGTGTTTGTCTGGATATGCGTGCACAGACCATATTTTCCAAAGTTTAATATATATGTTCAGTTTAATTTGGTTTTCTTAGCTATTTTGTATTAATTTTATTTTTTTGAAGCAAAAGTGGGCTATAAATATTTTCATAAATAATCATTCCATTAATCTTCTAACATTGACCAGTCTTGCTGACATAGTTTCCAATTGTGGGGCATTGAAAATCAGAGAGGATGACTTGCTTAAATCAACTAATGCATTCATGAGTTAAATGAAAATTTCATTGAGAGTTTTCTGCTTCATTTTTAAAGTCTTTTGTCAGTTGTTGCCTGCTTTTTGTTAATGTAGTATAGTATTGTAGAAATAAGAGGCAAAGATTTCCAGAACATAGCTTTACAGTTTGTTGTTTGTTGGCTGATTTAATAAATACACTTATGAAATATCTTTTTAATGATTAGTAGACTATCTGTCTAGATGGGTGGAGTATATAAATCTGATAAAATAAATAAATAAATAAATAGTACATGTTAGGTTATGTTCAGTTTGTAAATAAAAATTTTAAAAACCTGTTTAGTTAAAATTAAATAACCACCTGGCATGTGTTAGATATTCATTAATAAACAGTTTGTTCTTCGTGTTTCATCGTTGGAAAGTGACTCTGATTTGTCTAACTTGTATGTGTATATATAAAGGGGGAAGTCAGAGTCCTAAAATAATCTCACACTCTGTTCTCTGGACATGTTGGTGGAACTTCTAATTACCACAACAAAGACAAGATTGGCTTGTTTTTAAAACTCTGCCATCATTTTCATTGTGGCTGTTGCACTATAACTTGGCCTAGACTCAAAATCTGCCTGGAAGAAAGAATATCAAAGAAGATTCCAGTATAGGAAGCTCTTGGTTTGGGGGTATTAAGGAACAAAGTGAGTTACATTACATCATATGACTCCCCTGTGAAAATGGTCACCCTAATCTTGGAGACTTCTCCGTTTCCCCTTATTACAGGATAAGATTATGTATTAATGCATTTATCTTACAACATATAGTTAACTGCACTGTTTCATATTTTCTTTTGTCTTCTTTGCAGGAACGAGTGGAATATCTTTTTCTCATAATTTTTACAGTGGAAGCATTTTTAAAAGTAATAGCATATGGACTTCTCTTTCACCCTAACGCTTACCTCCGCAATGGCTGGAATTTATTAGATTTTATAATTGTGGTAGTAGGGTAAGTATGTGTCTCTTTCATGTCCTTGTTTTCTGTCTTTAAATGCAAAACACTAATTTCTGGGAAATGGACATTCAAATGCAAGCACTTTGGCAGATCTTCAAAGTGCCCAACACACACAGAAATACAGCAGACACATCTTTTCCAACTGAATGCACTCAGAATCTGGCTTTTAAAATGCTTTTTATGAGATCAAAAACCCATACATATCATCAGCATAACATAAAAAAGGAGAAATGATTTTAGTTAAAATACATATAAGGTGGAAGATCGGTGGTTGGATATTCCCCAACATAATTTCTTTGCTTAAAAGCAACTGCTTGAGTAGGATATTGAATAAGAGATGTGGGGCTTATGTTTTTCCTCAGCATATTTCCCACAAGTAGCTGTTAACCATAAGGATACCCACTCACAAACAAAACAGGCATAGTATTAATTCTTTCGCCTTACTCCAGCTTATACCAGCATTTAGGTCAACCTATGCCCTAGGCCAACCTAGGGACGTGGTGGCACTGTGGGCTAAGCCGCAGAAGCCTGTGCTGCAGGGTCAGAAGACCAGCAGTCGTAAGATCGAATCCACGCAACGGAGTGAGCGCCCGTCGCTTGTCCCAGCTCCCGCCAACCTAGCGGTTCAAAAGTATGCAAGTAGATAAATAGGGCCCACCTCGGTGGGAAGGTAACAGCATTCTTTGTCTAAGTCACACTGGCCACGTGACCACAGAAGATTGTCTTCGGACAAATGCTGGCTCTGTGGCTTGGAAACGGGGATGAGCACCGCCCCCTAGAGTCGAACACGACTGGACAAAAATTGTCAAGGGGAACCTTTACCTTTACCTTTATGCTGTCCTACCACTGCAGGTATGATTTAAGATTCTTCTTCTGCATCCAAACAATAACTACTAGGTAAAGAAAAATTGAACAGATATTCAGTGTCACTGGCTACTTTGGCTCTCATTGACTAAAAGTTATATAAAGTAAGCTTAGATTGACCAAGGTACCAAATGAGGGAACACTTTGCACTGGATTTAGATAATTGATTTAGAACAGTTTGTATATTTGGCTGACTCTGTGTTTCCTGAATTCTTAACTCTATAGAAACATCAGCTGACAGTACTTTAATTGTTTTACCTGAGGACAAATCCTCAATTTACTTCATTTGAATGGCATTTTTACTAATCTTGTTGAAGAATAACTCTGCCAGGCTCACGTTTTAGCTGTTTTAGTAGAGGGAAAACCCCTTCCATTCACATTCAGTTATTTTAAGGTAACATTTTAATGCCATTTTTATGGCAAATGAAAATTTTTTGGTTGAAATTTAATTTGTTATTCAAACTCAAATTCAAAATTCTACAGTGAAACACTTCCTTAATAATGAAAAGGAAATCTGTAATTGACTGACATATTTAATGTACAGTAAGACCCCTGTATCCGTGGGGTCAGGATCTGCAGTTTCACTTTTCCGTGGTTTAAAAATATTAAAAACATTAAAAGAAAAAAATCCAGAAAATGTATTACCAGAACCAGCCACAGTAAGGAGCCAGAAACCATGCTATGAATACTTGTTAGTGAAAAATACATAACATGGTATTTTGTGCCCTCTAGTTTCTGGTTCTGGTAATGCATATGAAAATATTTTTCTCTCCTTCCCCCCCCCCCAATTTACCATGCTATATATACTATAGTGTTTGCTATTATCTGCAGTTTTCACTATGCATGGTGGGGCTTGGAACCAATCTACAGTGGATATGGGGGTCCTACTGTATACAGTAATCAAAGGAATATGTGGAAACAAATTATATTTTGAATATTCAGAGTCTAGTAGTACAGTGGCTGAAATCCTGTTGTTTTATTATACAGGTAGAATTCAAAAGTGTAACTTCTAGTCAGTAATGAGCTTCTACTGTGTTTCTTTGGGGCATACACATATGCTGGCTTGGTGTATGCTCTAGAATCCCAAAGGCACTCATTAATTGCCCAATAGAAGCAAGTGAATGCAATGCCTTTTTCCTTCTCAATGTGTAACAAAACAAAAGGATTTCAGCCAGTGCATATATATCCTCTTGGTTTCCTAGAGGAAATACAAGAACCCAAACAGAATAACTATTTTGAGGAAACATCAAGTGTGTCTCGCATAGCAAATGTATATCTAGACTATATGCAAAATGTGTGGGTTCACACTAATGAATACTCCTTCACGTAGAAACTGGTTATGTATCAAGAATAATTCTGGGTTTATAATCCTTCTGTGTGGAGAGAAGATTTTGTGTGGAGCAGGTTTCACTTTTGTCACCTTTCACCTTCAGTGTGAAGAAGTAGAGCCCCGACACATATTTTTCACTTAATAGAGAACTGGGCCATAGTCTTAAGTTTTTCAGTGGAGTTGAGAAGTGTAAAAAAGGGAATCACAATGCTGGGTAATTTACTCTTGTATTTTTTTTCCTAGAGATGTAAATTTCTATTTATTTAGTTGTCACAGGCAAGAATGAATACTTTTAGAAGATTTCTTCCTTCTGGGCAGGATTACAAGGGGTAGTTTTGGGGGTATATTTTGGACCATTTTTGCAAAACAAAAATCATGAAGTGTTATTTGTGCAAAATCTTTATTTTTGAAGAAAACCTAATACAGTGGTGCCTTGACGTAAGACCATAATCCGTTCCAGAAGATGGATGTAACTCAAAAAGGTCATAAATTGAAACACCATTTCCCATTGAAATGCACTGGGACGTGATTAATTCATTCTGGCAAAAAAAACCCAAAACAAACAAACAAAACAAAAAAGAAAGCACACAGCAAGCACCATTGGAAGGTGTTGTGGCTTTAAAAAAAACAAACAAACCAAAAGTAAACAACAGAGCAAGCCCCATCGGAAGGTGCTGGGGCTGCAAAAAACAAACAAAACCCAAACTAAAAATAAACAACAGAGTAAGCTCCGAAGGCGCTGGGGCTTAAAAAACAAATCAAAAATAAACAACAGAACAAGCCTCATCGGAAGGTGCTGGGGCTGCAAAAAAAAAATCAACACAGCACAGAAACATAACCCCCACAGCCCAAACCCATGCTGCAAACCCCACCCAGAACAGTTTTTAAAAAGCAGAAACAGCACCTTACCTTACCAATCAGTCCGAAGCCTCCTTCAATCACACTTACTTCTAGATAGGAAGGGTTGGGGCGAAAGAGCTACAAAGAAGCAGCCTCTTCACCTACCAATGGTTAGCAAATTTGAATTCCCAGCCTTTTTTCCCTGCCTTTTTTCTGGTTGCGACTTGAAGCTCTAGCCACAAGTCAAAGCAAAATTTTGTGGCCAGAGCTGGTTGTAACTCGAAATGGTTGTAAGTCGGGAGTTCATAAATCGAGGCACCACTGTACTTATTCTAAAGAGTGTATTTTTTTTCACTGAAGAACTTGTATTTTGTGTAAAATACATACCTCTTATGAGAAAACAGGGGTTTAGAGAAGTGGGGGTGGGGTGTTTTGGTAATCCTGCTGCTGACCAAAAAATCATTGTCTTGTCACTTTCATTTAGGAATGAAAAATGTTGTGGCTTATTTATTCAACCTAGTCTTCATGTGTTAAGACACTCTTTTTCATCAAGTAAAGAAAATTTGCGAGTGTTCATTTCATCTTTACTCTCTTCAGCATATTTCATATATCTGGCTGGGTTTGTGCAATAACAGTGGTGGTATCGATATCTGCTTTTTCATAGCAGGGGCAGACACCAGGAATATCAGTGATATTTCTGTTTCACATGTGCAGTCAAACCAAGATGTTCTTATATTTGTTTTGCTTTTCACATTCTTTTCATTTTCATATACCTGTATTAGTTTTCCGTTATTGCTCACTGCACCTTGGTTCCTAACTATATGATACTTAACAAGACTTACTCTGTTCTGTTCTATTTTTTCAACCTCTCCTGGTAAGATTTATTTTCTGTTCTCATGTTAGCATGGTTTATTCTGCCCCCTTTCCCCATGACAAATATAATATATGCTATGCAAGATTTTGCTTTTAGTTATGCCATAAAACATTATTTGAGAGACTTGTCGGTTGTTGAAAGCTGCTGTAATTTAACATTAATATTAAAAATGGAGCAAAACGTAGATCAAAGCAGTGGCTTTGTGTATTTTCCCATCGTCTCCCATGTAACATATGGAAATGAAATACATGAGTTAATGCCATCACGTCATGCATTTCCTTACTCTCCCTCTGAAGTAGAACATAGTCATTGTACAACAAGCAATATAGTGCTTAAACACAGAAATATATAATACAGTGACATCACAAATTATTATATATTGTAGGGAAGGAGAAGTATGAGAGATGAGGATGTTACTCAGAGCAGTAACATGATACATTTCCATAGTGTTCTTTTATTTCACACAGATAAATGTATCAGTGTTGCCTTCTGTCTGCTAAACATGAGGTTGAAATACTTTAGATTTCTCACATGTTTGATTAACCCAGATATAGGCATGTCTTAAGTTACATCTGTTATAAGCTGAAGATAATAAGAAAAAAATGTCAGCATGAATAAAATGTATTCCAATCTACATTTTTCAAAACATGTTTGTTTGTTTATTTGTTTGTTTGTTTTATTCATTGCATTTGTACCCTGCCCATCTAGTGCCTAAGCACTACTCTGGGTGGCTAACAGCAATTAAAAACACAACTACCCACTACAAAAACTAGTGAGGATTGCAGAATATATTCTCAGTTTACACAGACCCTAGCCTAACCATATTGGAGACATTTGTTGTTTTTATTTAATATATTTTATTTTTATCCAACCTTTCTCGTTAGAGAGAATTGGGATCTTAGGTGGTATACTACATAAGTAAACAACAATACATTAAAGCAGAACTAAACTAATTATCCTAGTGAAAGAGAACACAAATATAATCATTTGAAATCATCCCAATTAAAAATAAAAAGCAAAAATAATGCAATAGAAAAATGCAGCACATCCTTTAAAGCTTCCCACCATACTTTCAGTCAGTGGGTGAAAAGCTGCATACATAGGAAGGTTTTTGTGAGATGACAGAAGTATAGCAGAGAAGTGGCCATCCCAGTCTCCCTTGGTGGGAAGTTCCATTATCTTGAAATGTCTGCTGCCCAAAAAGTATCTCATATCCTTGCCAAATGTTCTCTAACGATGATGAGACCAAGAGAAGGCCCTCTTCCACAGATTTTGGCACCTGGACAAACTTATATGGGGGAATACAGACTTTCAGATAGCCTAGATCCAAGTTGTGGAAAACCTTACACATCATAACAATCATTCCTGTTTACAATTATTGTGGGGAGGAGAATGGAAATAAAAAAAGGAATGGAAATGGGAAAATATGTCTTTTGTTATTTGCCAGTTGACAACTGAACTATAATAAAATACTTTACATTACCGGTAACAAGATAGTGTTCCTGGGAAAATCCTTTTCTCTCCAAGAATTACAGCGGATCTGAGAAGAAACAGGGAAGCCTGAAGGGTGTGTTGTGTTGTGTTGTGTCATAGTTCTTGCCAATTAGAATTATAGGGCTTTGCTAGTGCAGGCCCATGCTCCACTTCAGAGCTGGACTGTGTTTTGCTAGAACCCTGAGGTTCACTTGTTGGAGTTAGATGCTGAATAGTAGCTGACAATGGCAGATATGTAACTGCAGAACAAGGTGGCTCTGAGCAAATGCTGACCAATCTCTGAGCTTCTTTTCAGCAGCAAAACAGGAGCTTACACACAAGTGCTTTTATAAAAAAAATTAATGTTGTTTTGTGTCTCTTTATTCTTTTACATAGAGGCTGGCCTGTGTGCCCTGTGTAGCATCCTCTCATGATTTCAGTAGGCTAATTTAAGGACAAAATTTGGCCCCCACCCTTCATTATATAATTACAATCAAAATCCTGTTAATCTAATGCAAATTGCCTGGAGATCTTCCACTGGCTCATAAACGTTTTTGCCCCACCTGTGATGTAAAAGAGACATTTCAGCAGGCTCATCTTTTTCATCTCTGCATGTGAAACTGCTTTTGTGGAAATCTCATTTTCAGAACAATGATTAAAGGCTGCAGTCAAATGCTCACTTACTTGGTAGTAAGCCTGATTTTTTTTTTTTCTGTGGGGCTTGCTTTTGAGTGGTTATTCATTGTAAGACTTGAAACTCTATTTCATCCCTCTGTCTTTTCCCTCAGCTTGGTCACACATATTATAAATTAGTTAATTATGAGATCCAGAACCTGTCTCTTTGCAATACTGTTTTGCTACTTTCAAAATATGTATATTTTTCTTAATGTGGTAAATAAAATCATGTTCTTTTCTGCTGAGACTCCATCTATGGCAAGTATTCCTGTAGTTCAGCAGAGATGGAGGGGCAGTGGGGTGGAGTGGGAAAAAAAGGTCCTTCCACTGCCTTTTCTAGTTGCTATTTGGCCCTTCGCTTTCAGACTCCATTTGCAATCATTATGGTCTACATGGAATAATAAGAGAGAAAAAGAACCTTCCGTTGTTCTCTTGATGACTACTCATTTTTTCCACATTCATTCATCTTCACTAATATTCTCAGTTTTTTTTCTTTGTGATGTGACACACTCCTAGATTATAATTCTGAGAGCAGGGACTTTATTCATGATTTTTATATAGCACCTAGTAAATTTTAGTGCGAAAGAAAATGAGGCCAATGAGAGGTATATTGTGCAGAAGATCCTGTATTAAGCTCCTCTCCTTCCCAAGTACTGAAAGGAATTAATTGCTTTCAGAAACCATCAGTAGAAGAAGAGTTATTAACAAAAATGGTGAACAACATGCCCCTACAGAGACCCTTCAGGAAGTGCAGCTGGGAATCTGCCTTCTACTTCCTTCCTGAGATTGTAAACAAGAAAACAGTCCTCATTGTACTGTAGGAAGCATTAAAAGAGTAGCACAGAGAGAATAGGATACTTGCATGGCTAGGAACAAAGCTTCTATAATTTTTTATATGTGGTGAAGACCCAGTTTATAACACAGAAAACAGTAGTCTAATATGCTGTGGCAAAAATCTTGCCTCTGACAGTCCCCTTTAATAAGAGTAACTGGCAATACTAATCTGGGCTTGGTAAAGTTTCTTCCATGGATGAAAAAAAATGATGATTACAGTATTTTGTTTAGTGGATTCCGAGCTTGAGGTCATTTTATTAAAGCTATAAAATATTATCAGAGAAAACTTTTGCAGTTAGCTCTGTTTTTTGGGCTCCCAGAAGACTGGAACAACTGTACAGAAACATCACTCATCTAATGAGAGGTTATGTTTAGTAGAAAACAAAAATATTAAATAGAAAACAGAACATATTTTCCTAATGCTTGTTCACTGGACTGCAAGAAGCATGCAGAGCCAAATGTGGCATCCGCTGCCTTTGAGTATAATCTAATTTCTATAAAAAATGTTATGTGAAAGATTTTTCTAATACATATTGAAGAATTTCTTTAATTTTCAAGATTAACAATTATATTCTGCTTGCCCCTACAGTATTCCTAGGAAGGAAGTCATCATTGTTCCCATTTTAGAGATGTTAACCAATCCTAAATATGTTAACACAGTATCAGGTCCTTCTAACTTCTACACAGATGTTTTCCTAGCAGCTATGGGTATGATTCTTGTAAAACTGAGCAGATTGCCATATTGTATGGCTCCTTTGCTAGCTGAGGAAAGCTCCAAACCCATAAATGTCTAAGTAGCAGCTCTTATACATACATACGTATATTACAGAGCATTAAAAAATTGGAGAGCAAGGTTTGAGCAGACTATTTAATTACAAATACTTTATAAATTAAAACACATGTAGATGTCCTTTTTTATGACATTGTTTTCTTCATCATAATCAACAGCAGCACTTCATTATAAAATTCATGGACTCTTAAGTCAGGCCACAGTACATGGTTTAGTCATTATGTTAGAGTTAAGCAGGGATATACATCATTACTTGTGAATGAAAAACTACATTTTGCTCACCTACAAGATGGCAAGATGTTTCCTATCAGTATTTATGACCCATTCTTGAATTTGTAGGAACAATTTCTTCATTGTGGGCTCTTTGCCTCTGAGTTAGTACATGTGCAGACATCTCAGAATCTTCTACAGCTAAATCAAAAATATATTAGTGGGATCCCCACCCTCCTGCTTGATGAGATAGATATATGGGGATCCCATCCCACCCTCAGTTCCAGAGGTTAGCTGCAAAGTGTAGCAGACAGTAGAGGTGACTTCTGGTGACCCCCAGAGAGGGGAGGAGGATGAAGTGTGTGAATACACAAATAATAATTTCAGCTGTATTTACAGGTAGACACCCTATTCTTCATTCTGGTCTCTGTGCCCAACATTCTCACCACCTGCATCGCCAGTGTAGCCACCGACCTGCACACCCTATACTTACATCTATCCCTACATTGAAGATTGCTTTCTTATCATGTCAAATGATCACCATATCTCCCTCCATTACCTCATCACCTTCCTCTCTCGGCCTTCCCATCAACAAGGAAAAATCCCATCTTCTTTCTACCAGAAGCATCAAATTCATTGGCACTATACTAGACTCACTGGTGACACATGCCTTCATACCAAGAGACTGGATCCTCACTCCCATTCAAGTCACTATTCCACATATTGTCCTGCAGTAAGGATAAATCTTCCAATAGATATTGCCCCCATATTGACCTCTTCAATTCTACAGCAGGTTCCTGAGCCAAAGGGCCCTCTGAAGGACAAATTCCTCTATAGCTAGTAGGATCTGCTTTCAGTAGACTTGCTGAGATGGCCTCTTATAAAAAAAGACTACGGAATTTAGCAACTTTAGAGTTAAGAGCATGAGAGAAAAATTACAGCTGGTTTTTGCTGTCAATTTATATATCAGAGATATAAAGATTCTTCTCAGTTTCCTTGTCTTACACTGTAATATGGAGTATATAAAATAGCTATAATTTTTTTTCATTCTTTTTTATCTATGCTGTCTACTTACAGTTTATTTCCTCTTTCCATTCCTCTACCAGGCTTTTTAGTGCAATTTTAGAACAAGCAACCAAAGCAGATGGGGTGAATTCAATAGGAGGCAAAGGTGCTGGATTTGACGTTAAAGCACTACGGGCATTCCGAGTATTGCGCCCCTTACGGCTGGTATCTGGTGTTCCTAGTAAGTAACATTTTTTCTCTTTTTTTGATTCTTTTTTTTTTAAAAAAAGCTGGAGAAACAAATATTGTGAGAGCAAAATTTAGACTTATGGAAAAGTGAAGATGTATAGAAAACACTTGAGCCCCTAACACTGGTAACAGGTTTCAAGGTGGAATATTAGCAGGAATAAGGACGATGTTGCACATATGTGTTTTAACAGTTTCACTGAAATACTTAAGTAGAGTAGAATCCAATGAAAGAGGCAAAGAGAGGTGGAGGAGAGAAGGGAGATTTTTAATACTATAGTTTTTACATAGTGATGGAGCCATTTTGAAATGATACAAGAGAGTAGATCTGTTTAAAACAACAGAAAATAAATCTGGTATGAATTAAATCAATGCAACAATAGAGTTGTTGGCTTTGAAGTTGATGTCTTCAAATCTCACACGTGGCTGTCTTGATGAAGAGGCAGTCCCATTGACTGAACATCTGTTTTCTTGAATGGTGATTCTGTTTCCTTATTGATTTCCATCTTTAATAAGGTAGTATGATGTGGTTAATATTTCTAGTTTGTCTTCTGTCATTGTCATCCCAGGACAAACAGATATTTTAGGTTTGGGAAGCACTGCAAACTCGCACAAAATCTGTGAAGAAAAGTGGTAGTGTTATGAGTATGTACACCATGGAAGATCAAGCCTCTGTGTGCATGTCACTCAGTATCCTCTCTTGGCTGCTGAAGTATATATACTCTATCAAAGCATATATGTGCTGATGTACAGGTTTATCTGGCAGCAAGCTTGCCAGAGGAGGGTTTAGTAAGATCATTGTTAGGGTCCAATAGATAGCACTTCATTAAAGCTTTTAGATTTCTATCACTTTATTAAAGCACCAGTCATACCAAGTGGAAAGTTGCAGGGTTCTGTCTCTGGCCTGATGTCATTTAGCATCTTTATACATGCCTTGGATGAGAGTGTGTAGATGTTCTCTAAATTTTTACATGACACCAAACTGGGAGGAGTAACTAGAATTGCAGAAGACAGAGTATTAGTGATCTTAAGTATTGCAAACTAATCATAAGGCAACAAAGTGATACAGCACCAAGAATGTGAATGAAATTCTTGGCTGCATCAAAGACATACTGTATAGTGACCAGATAAAGAAAAGAAATAGTATTCTGCTTTAGTCAGACTTCTAGTCAGACATGAAATACTGCGTTCAGGTCTAGATGCCACAGTTTAAAAAGGAAAATAACAAGCTGGAATACCTGCAGAGGAGGAAGACAAAGATAGTAAAATGTCTGGTAATCAAGCTCTTTGAAGAACTTTTTGAAGGAATTAGGTGTGTTTAATCTGGAGAAGAAAAGCTGACAGGTTATATGATAACCATTCTTAAATGTTTGAAGGGTTAGCAATGTGAAAGATGGAACAAACTCATTTTTGCATGTCCAAGAATTGGGCCCATATTAGTGACTGAAATCCAACAGTGCAACTTACATCACATGTAAGTTGCACTGCTGACATCATCATTTGCACTGGTGATGTCATAAATGATGGAGATTTTTCAGAAATCATGAATTTCTCATTCCTCTACCCAGAAGTTTCAAATCTCTCTCCTGATTTATTAATTTCCAAAGTCTTTGCTGCTGTGATGATTTTACCTCCAAGAGTGATTTTTGGAAATTAAAAACACTCCTCATGATGACTCCTAATGGCTTTCCTATGATGAAAGGGATGTCAAAGGAGTCTGCAGACCTTTACAGGGAAATTGGAATGTTTACTTTCCAAAAAACTGCTATGGCTGATTACAGATACAGCCTTCCATGACACAAAAATTGCTCAGCAGAATTTTAGCTATTAGATTAAAATTATTATAAAGGAGATTTTGATTAAATATTAGAAATAGCTTTGATTTGAAGTTGGCTTCTTTGAGGAAACCAAGCTTAGCCTCAGCTTGGATACAAAGCTAAAATGCAGGTAGGTAGAAATGAACACTTGTAATTTAAGAGGAACAAGTGGAGAACTAACGTATGTTAGCAATCAAGCTTTATGAAGCCTGGGCTTACTGCTGAGTAGCTCTTACAACTGGAAAGTGCTTAATTCTTGTTTTCACTACAATACCTTAATTCTGATCACTGTAGTAGCTGTTATTATTGTTAGTAGAAGTAGCAACCGTGGTATTACGTCAGAACATAATTCTTCTTTGTGCATCTTATTAGACAAATAATGTCAGACTGTCAAATACTGTTTATTTGTGAGGTGGGTTGACAAAGGTCAAAGGAAGGCATGAGATGTTCTCTGCCAGTGGGAGAGCATAATCCAAAGGCCCTATGTTATAAAGACTCTAGAGGGCAGTCTGGTATACCCTTGCACAGCACTGACTGGAAAATGCTTAGCTGGTTAGATTTCATATTCATAAATGTGCTGCTAAAATAAAATTTATGTTACTGTGTTGCACAATCTAATTTAGGTGGCCATTCTATCTATTCACTTTTAGGGCTTGATCCTACTGGTAATAATATCCATTATTGTACTGTGTTCTGTTTGTTTGTTTTTTTTAATGGTTCAATCATTTCTGCATATGGACACCCTTTTGTCACTACAAACTGTGCCTTTGGGTAACCAGTGGTGGCATGTTGTAGGGGAGGCAATAAGAAAGGACGGACAGGTGGTTGCAGGAGAGGGAGGGTCTGCTGGCAAAGCTGCTTGTCCCTTTAGAATACTTGCCTGCTTCTGTCCCTTTTGCTCCTTTAAGAAAGCTCTTGCTATTCCCTGGGAGGTGACAAGGAGAGGATGCAGACAGCCCTTCCCTCACTGCCACTTCCCACTCCTGCTATAGTTTTTTTCCCTTCCTTGGCAAGTAGTTTATATGTGCAAACTTCCTTTCCTTGCCTTATCTGTCTCCTCTTTTTCCTCCCCAGGCAGCTTTTCATGGAACAGAGTTAAGAATGGGAAGAGGGAAACCAGGAGAAATTAGCAGGGCTGCTTGGGAAACTGAGCAGCTGAAAACTGCTTCAACATTCTTAAAGGGACAGAAGCAGCTAGGCTTTCTAGCGAGACAAGCAGCTTTGCCAGCAGATCCTTTCTCTCCCTTCTCGCCTCACTGTGGTAGTAGAGGCAAGTGGCCAGCATGAGAGCAGGGCAGGCTGGTGCAGGACCAAGCTTCAAATACAATGTTTTTAAAAGCTAGTGTAGCCCCCTTAACCGAGATACAACATAACTTTAAAATGGTTTAAAAGTTTTACCAAGGGGATGCAAACACCAACCCAAACACCATGTGACACCATATGATTTCTAAATCAATTCCATTTAGAATAGATCTCATTGTGAGGCAAATGTAAGTATAAATAAGACTTTAGTTTGGAAAAGAAAACCAGTTTTAAAAAAATCTTCTTGCAATATAAAAACTCTTTTGTATTCAAACCTGGCATTTGTCATTGTGTCATGTCCTAAAGTCCACAAATAGATACTGGGCTGAAAGTATAATATGTTTTCTATTTGTCCTATACCTGGCCATTATTTAAATAGGTTCTGTTTTGGAGTTTTATTTGCAACCTCACATGCTATCTGTAGTTCGTGCGATTGGGAGGGACTTTTCTGGGCTGCAGTGATTGTCTATCCTGCACTAATCATTCTTTCCATCTGTTCTTAAAAGAGACATAGTGGGGAAACAAACTCCCAACCTCTGGCACCATAGCCAGACACTTAAACCACTAAGCAATCGAGCCAGTTACAAAACTTAAGTATAAGCTTCAGAAAAGGAAAATGCTATGCTGTATGCTTTTGCTTAGATGGAAGCTGGTTCAAAACTCACTTCTGTCCTCCCACTTCAACCCAAAACCATAAAGAATTGTCTTGTAAGATTAGACCAGGGTCCATAGAATATGTTTGTTTGTTTGTTTGTTTGTTTGATTGATTGATAATATTTATATCTTGCCCAACTAATGCCTAAGCATAACTCTGGGCAGCTAACAACAATTAAAAACACAACAGCCCACAAAGACATAAATTATGAGATCCAGACCGCAATTTTACATTTTGGGTAATAATCCAAAATTTAAAATAAACCTAGAGGCAACGGCTAATCAAAATCAGTATCCAACTCATGGATCCACAAGGATGTCAGAGGGGTGAGGTGTTTCTGAAGGTCTCTTCAAACAATGTAGTTCTCACCCATTTCCTAAAAGTCAGAAGGGAGGGAGCCTGGTGTATATCCACAGGTAACCCATTCCATAGCATTATGGCCACCACTGAGAAAGCCTGGTTCCTGATAGTATTTTTCCAAGCCTTTTAGGGGTGGCCTCCTGTGACCACAAAACCTGAATGGCCCTGGTGGCCCAGAAAGACAATCTGAGAGAGAGATGCTCCATCAGGTAACAAGGCCCCAAACTGTTAAGAGCTAGCATTCTGCTTACAGCAACTGCCAACATGTTGCTTCTGAGATTTCTCAAGCAGGGCATGAAGGCAATGTCATTTTCCTGTTATTAGATTTTCCTCTCTGTCAGACAACCTCAGAAGGAACGTCAGTAGAGAAATAAGATTGAAATTCTCAAAAGGTAAACTGAGAAGTACAGACATATACAGACACTTGCATACATGTCACTAAGTGTGTAGTTCTGGATGATATTCCAGCACTTTGAAGATTGAAGGCTAACCACTGTGGATTAGTAATAATAATCATGTGCCATCAAATAAATTCTGACTCCTGGTGAGCCCCTTTTAGGGTTTTCCAGGTAGAGAAAACTCAGAAATGATTTAACATTCCCTTCTTCTGGGGGTTCCCTGGGACTATGCAGCTTGCCTGGCCTGGCTCTGTTTATGTAATTAAAACTTTGAAAATTCAGTATTAGTGTTAATGATGCATTTGTCATCTTCTATATCTCATTTTCACTTGTTCCTCAACACTGCAACCATATACTCCAAATGTTTGAAGAAGAGGCAGTACTCCATTAAAGCTCACAATAAATAAATGTTTTAGCCTCAAAGGTATCACAGCAATCCTATACCTGCTTATCTGGGAGTCAT